ACGCCTTTTTGCATAACGCCTTCAAAAATGCTTTGGGTTAGGGTTAGGTTTGGGTTAGTTTTCTTGGCGTTATCCAAAAAGGCGTCGTTTTGCAAAAAGGCTGATTATACAAAAAGCCTGCGACATATATATATATATATATATATGAATTGAATCATAAGTAGTTTCTTTCTCAAAATTTTTTTTGATAAATGTATAATCGTATACTCGAATAAATTTAAACTTTCGCACATTGTAAATGTTAATAAATAAATTTAAATAAATTAGCTAGACTCTCTTTTCAAAATTTAGAAATGCTCAATACTTTTGAGCGATAATGTAATTATAAAATTGCTGTTTAATCGATTTCGAGTTCTTCTCTTGCAGATAGAAGTAACTTCTGTACAGCGCAAGTAGCTTTAACTGAAAACAAAATAGGAAAATATAAATTAATTATAATATATAGTTAAACAATAGTATTCTGAACTTTTCTATTCATTTTTTTCTTGATTTTTGTAAATTTATAACATTTCTTATGTTTCCTACTTTATATCTGTTATTTGATATGTTACGTATATAATAACAGTATTGTTATAAATATATTTTCATTTGCCATTAGAAATAACTGAAGAGAAAGTTCAGAATAAGCGGGATGTTTCCCAATGCGATAAGAGAAGTAATATAGAAAACTTTAAATAATGAATAAACTTAAATTAGCCAATCGCATTTGTAACAATTACGAACTGTTAATGTTTTGGAACCACAGTGGTTTGCTTTTCCAAGCAACACCGAAGAAATACGCGGGTATGCCAGACACAGTAATCAGAATACCCATACCAACTTCGTATGGTCTTTTATAGCACGGTACAATAACCAGAAAAGCGCATAACGCTACAAACAATATAGGTATCCACAATGGTATCTGAGAACAAGAATTTTCAATGACTTTAACATATATAGATACACTGATAACATGCATATATTAAAATAGATTACCTTGATTGGTCGTTCCATATTAGGTCTTTTATAACGCAGCCATAAAATTCCAGCCACGGAAACCATGATGAAAAATGACTCTACTATGCTGCAGTATGTGATCAGTACAAATATATCACTCGTGCATAACATTATCAAGGACAGAATACACTGTAAATATAAAAAGGATTAATTTATGATATGAAGAAAGAATTTATTTTAATATACATTGCAAGATTCTTAATTTTTATTCTAAAATCATAATCTGATATAGCTGTGATTAAAAGTCTTAAAAAAGTTAATTGATACAATAGATACAATTTAGCATTGTATACCAGAAATATTAAAGCAGGCGTAGGTGTGAGTCTGGACATATTGATGTGGCTCAACATGGAAGGAAAGTGGCCGTTCCTGGCGCCAACAAAGCACATTCTAGATGATGTCATAATATGAACGCTTAATCCTCCAAAAGCAGACACTGCCACCATTACAGGTATTAGCCAAGCCATGTATCCAAGAAGTTGATTGCCAAAAGTCTGAAAAAAAATAAGATTAAATTTTATATACATCTGAGATCTAACTGGATTGTTATATATTATACAGGATGTCCCGAAATTCACGAATTAAAATATTATAGCAAGAAAATCTTCGAAAAATTAAGTAAAGAAAATTATTTGTAAATTTTCATTTGAAGTAGTGGTTTTTGAGATATTTTAAGCAATAATTTTCATTTGAAGTAGTGATTTTTGAGATATAAGAATTTAAATTTGATCAATTATAGGTTATGGTTAAACAGAAACATGTCTGTGTGAGTAGCACGTCGATAGTGTTAGTAATCGCGCACTTCACGCGCATAATCTATAATTGGCCAAATTTAAACTCATATCTCAAAAACTATGCTTAAAATTAAAATTTAAAAATAACCATTTTACTTAATTTTTCGAAGACTTTCTTG